GGGGTGCAGAGGCCATTACGTATGGTTGTGTGAAGGTTTGAAGGTTTGAAGGTTGGAATGTTTGAAGTTTATGAGTTATTCGAAGGTTTGTATATTTGATTGTTTGAAGGTTTGAACGTTTGATTGTTTGAAGGTTTGAAGGTTGCAATGTTTGAAGTTTGGAATGTTTGAAGTTTATGAGTTATTCGAAGGTTTGTATGTTTGATTGTTTGAAGGTTTGAAGGTTTGATTGTATGAAGGTTTGAAGGTTGGAAGGTTTGACAGATTAAGTGAATCAGTGTTTTGATAAATGTAAGACTAAATAGGTCATACTGAATTTGAATTAAGTAAGGATGTAACCTCCAAGGCTGCCACCTAGTCTGCGCCTACTCTACACCTACATTGTTACTTGTAAGTCTCCTCCCATCACCTTCAATAGTGTTACATGCATTCAGGCATGGCATCCCCAAGGCTGTCACCTAGCCTGTTCCTACTCTGCAACCCGTGCCACCTATTATTCGGAAATGGGGATGGAGATACCTTTCATTTTTGTACTCTTTCGCCAAGTCCAATGGCGCCTCTCTTAATGTCCAATCGTGTTACATGTATGCAGAGATGTCTTCTCCAAGGCTGCCACCTAGCCTGTGCCTACTCTGCACCTACACTGTAACATGTAAGTCTCCTCCCATCACCTCCAATAGTGTTACATGCATTCAGGCATGGCTTCTCCAAGGCTCTCACCTAGCCTACGCCTACTCTGCAACCCGTGCCACCTATTATTCGCCAATGGGGATGGCGACACCTTTCATTTTTGTACTCTTTCGCCAAGTCCAATGACGCCTCCCTTAATGTCCAATCGTGTTACATGCATGCAGAGATGCCTTCTCCAAGGCTGCCACCTAGCATGCGCCTACTATGCACCTACATTGTTACTTGTAAGTCTCCTCCCATCACCTCCAATAGTGTTACATGCATTCAGGCATGACATCCCCAAGGCTGTCACCTAGCCTGCGCCTACTCTGCAACCCATGACACCTCTTATTCGCTAATGGGGATGGCGATAACTTTAATTTTTGAACTCTTTAGCCAAGTCCAATGGTGCCTCCCTTAATGTCCAATCGTGTTACATGCATGCAGAGATGCCTTCTCCAAGGCTGCCACCTAGCCTGCGCCTACTCTGCACCTACATTGTTACTTGTAAGTCTCCTCCCATCACCTCCAATAGTGTTACATGCATTCAGGCATGGCATCCCCAAGGCTTCCACCTAGCCTGCGCCTACTCTGCAACCCATGACACCTCTTATTCGCCAATGGGGATGGCGAAAACTTTAATTTTTGAACTCTTTCGCCAAGTCCAATGGCGCCTCCCTTAATGTCCAATCGTGTTACATGCATGCAGAGATGCCTTCTCCAAGGCTGCCACCTAGCCTGCGCCTACTCTATACCTACACTGTTACTTGTAAGTCTCCTCCCATCACCTCCAATAGTGTTACATGCATTCAGGCATGGCATCCCCAAGGTTGTCACCTAGCCTGTGCCTACTCTGCAACCCATGACACCTCTTATTCGCCAATGGGGATGGCGACAACTTTAATTTTTGAACTCTTTCGCCAAGTCCAATGGGGCCTCCCTTAATGTCCAATCGTGTTACATGCATGCAGAGATGCCTTCTCCAAGGCTGCCACCTAGTTGCGCCTACTCTGCAAGAGTGACACTTGTCATGCATGCATGCACCAGCTACCTCCTCACTTACTCTATAAATTTTTTTTCCTATAAATACAGAGCATAACATACTTCTCTCACACCCACAATCGTCTCACTCTCTGCTACAAAGTCTTTCATAATCTCTTACACTTTCTAAGTCTTTCATAATCTCAGGCATTTTCAACAATGGCTCTTCTCACAATGGGAGATTCTCACAGACGCACAAGGAACAACATTGTCGTATTTGTAAGTTTCTATTTTGGTTATACATTTTTTATACTTCAGGTAATGTTTTGTTCATCTTACTTAATCTTACACCTTTTACATTATTAACTCAGGATACCAAAAGATTCAGAATCCGGTCTCACAACTACCTGGCTCCTGACCTATTTATCGTACCATATCTGGAATACGCAGGTTTCAGACATATTATAAAGATCTCCAACTGCACAATTGATTCAAAGTTCATTCTTACAATGTTGGAAAGGTGGAGACCAAAGACCCATACATTTCACCTACCAATAGATGAATGTACCGTCACGCTAGAGGATGTGTACATGTTACTTGGTCTCTCTGTCGACGGTAAGGCCGTTAATGGGTCGGTTCAACAACCCAATTCTCAGTGTGAAGAATTGTTGGGCAGGGATATAGTTGAAGATGGTGGTGCGAGAGGTCAGGGTATACTACTCACTGAGCTTAAAAATCATTATGCAAGTTTGGAATTAAACGAAAATTCCTCTGAGCAAGACAGGGTAATAAAAGCTAGAACTTATCTAATGATACTATTTGGAATCTTTTTATTTCCCGAAAGTACAGGAAATAGTGTAAATTTTATGTATTTACATTTACTTAGAGATTTTGAAAAAATAAGAAAGTATAGTCGGGGTTCTGCAGTTTTAGCCCACCTATACAGTTCCTTGTGCAAAAATGCAGTCAAGGAAAAATGTATATTTTATGGCTGCGCTTTTTTACTTCAAGCCTGGGGTTGGTGGAGGATGGAGTCCTTAAACCCCGTCAACAACAACACATTCGTTTTCCCATACGCAACAAAGTAAGTCATCAAGTTATATCATTTATTACTATTCATCTCTTCACCAAATATATGCTAAAAATAAAATGTTTTTCATTTCCTTTAGGTATTGCGTGAGGGGTATGGATTACGGCAAGAATCCAAGACTCAATGTCGCACTATACCATAATCTGTTGGATCACCTAGGCCCGGATGATGTACATCGTACCTTTCAACTTTTCTTCATTTAAATTATTTATATATTACGTTTTCATTAACCTGATTTAATTTTTTTTCGCAGTTTGTCTGGAGACCATATTTGGGTTTGGGCCATGAACCAAACCCCAAGGATGCAGCAATTTGGAGCGCCAAGACTGCAATCATACGGTTCAATATTGTGGAGATGCACCACAACGACCGTGTGAAGATGCAGTTCAGAATGCATCAAGAGATACCAAGTGATCCGACTTGTTTGTCCCCGTGGCATCTCAAAAGGGTCGACGCCCAGTGGGGTCTTACCAACTGGAAAGACTTTGCTCCAGAATGGTGTAAGATGTGGCAGAGGTGTCACCGACATGTCTTGCAATTCCCGGTTTTCCTCAATCATGGTAATATGCGACACACAGATCAATATTTATCTTGGTACAGGTCGATTAGTCACCCTGAAATGCACGTGTCTCATCCAAGGTATTTGGTTGACCCACGAACACAATGGGCACAATCCTCGTTTCCCCAACAACAAACCCAACACACATCAACCTCCCACCAACCCCCCAGACGAAACAGAACCACAAACACCCAACCACAATCCCCACCACAACACAATTACACCCAAATGCCCCACAACCAACCACAATCACAACCTCAGTACCAATACCCCCATATGCCTCACACCCAACTGTAATTCCAATCACAATACCAACACACCCGCATACTCCACATACAATTTCAGTCTTCTGTATATCCCAATATGGGCCCCTCAACATCCAGCCTTAGCCCTGATCTGGGAATGTCGGAAGATTACGACCCAACTTACCATCAACCACAGTATCACCAAACCACCCAACATCCTCAATACCAAACACCCCAAGATCCATTTCCTTTCTACCCCCCGTACTCAGACGATCAATGCTACAGACCCACTATGGAACCCCACCCACCGCCAACACGAGCAAACTTTAAGGGTATGGGTAACCGACTGTACCAAAGCGGATCTTCTAGATATGGAGATCTGACTGATTTCATGGATCCGAAACGCATTAACTTCGTTGGGCCATCGACCATGCCACAGCAGGAAACGCGACGACACCTAGCACGGGAAAGGCGAGGACGGGGATGCGGAACCGGGGGTCATTACCGGGTTCTGGGGGACCACTGATTTATCTGTTTTTTTTACCTGTTTTTTTAATGTAATACATATGGGTGTAATCATTTTTTTTAATAAAAAGTCAATTTTGTTGATCCTGTATCGAATACACAACGCACCGAATTGAAAAAAAACGCGAAAATTGCCCTAGAAATGTACTAAGGCGCCATCTCACTTGGCTTAGGGCATGCCCTAAGCACCTAGGCGCCAAGTGAGATGGCGCCTCCCCTTAAATAATGGGTGTAGGCGCCAAGTGAGATGGCTCCTCCTTTGGAGAGTCATCTGAAACATGATTATTTACGTAATTTTTTTCGAAACGTGGTTATTTGCGAAATTTTATTTTAATACGTGATTATTAAAAAAAAACTTCTGAATCTATCTTTGAATCCAATTATAATTTAAAAAAAGAATAGATCAGACCAACCAATTAAATCAATAATAGGTCATAAACTAAACTAGAATCTATAAAAACAAAAAATTGAAGATAAGATTCTAACCTTCTAAAGTCTATTAGTTACATACTTATTTCCACCTCTAATTGCAATACTAAGTTAAAAGTTTAAAAAAGAAAAAAGAAAAAATGAAGTTAGAGTTAGGTGTTAACAAGCTATATCTGCTTTATAAATAAGAGATTTGACATCCTAATTTTCTAGTGTTTTGAGTTTAGGCCATTATTACAAGAAACAACAAAACTAATTGGGCTCTTTTGTTTTATTAAAGACATAGGATCGGTATCACACGACCCCGCAACCGAAGAAACAGACAAAATAAAAGCACAACAAAAACAAAAGTACCTTCTCCTCTTTCTTTGTGTTACTCACTCACTCACTCACCTTCATCTTCCTACCTTTTTTGTTACCCACGGTCACTCATACCTGCATTCATTCACACCATAAAAACTCTTTGTTTCTCTAAACACCATATACTCTGGCTCTTCCAACCATGGAAGCGTTCACTTTGCTCAAATACCTGAAACCAACCGAAGCAACACCTCAACTTCAACCTCAACCTCCTCCTCCTACAGAAGAAGAAGAAGAAACCGACTACATCGAAACCACTACTGACGAAGAAGGAGAAGAAGAAGAAGATGAGCCTTTCTTTGACATAGAGTTCACTGTACCCGACGAAGAACCAGAACAAGAACAAGAACAAGAACCAAAAGAGTACGAGAATGAGCTCGGATTTACGCTTTCCCCTTTAACCAACGAACAACTTCAGTTGGAACTGAATTCCTCCGAACCTAACTCCAAGCCTCAGTTCACCGCCGCGTTCCTGAAATCCGCCACCAAGCTCCGTGTTTTCATCTCTGGTGCTCTCAACAAATCCAAATCCTCTGACTCTACTTCCCAAAAACCAGAGTCGCAGAAAAAGAAACTCTTCACCGTGAAGTTCAAAGTAGATGAAGTTCCCTTCGTGTCGTTCTTCACCAGAGATAACAGTTCTAAGGGAAAAACTGGTAGTGATGACAATCAAGCCTCTCAAAAGCAGAAGAAACAGCACAACAACACTGAGGAAGATGAATCCAAGTTACATTCACCTTCTTCTGCTTCTTCTGATGAGAAACTACGCTTCTCAAAGGAAGTAATACAGAAATATTTGAAAAAGGTTAAGCCTCTTTATGTAAAAGTTTCTCGAAAATATGCGGAGAAGCTCAAGTTTCCTACCAGCCAACTGAACTCGTTGCCGATGAAGAAACCGCCGGCGGAGAAGGTTCCGCCGGGAACCGAGGGTAACAATGTAAAAAGTCAGAAACAGGGGAGTCTGCCTCTGCCTGCAGGGTTGCGAGTAGTGCGTAAACATTTGGGGAAGAGCCGTTCGGCGTCATTGGCGACGGAGGTTACGACGGTATCTTCCCGGAGAGATGATTCGACGATGCAGCAACAGGATGGTATACAGAGTGCCATTTTGCATTGCAAGAGTTCCTTCAATGCTTCCAAAGGTAAATTAAGTTACAATTACCTATACTTTCTTTATTTACGGACCGATCCATTTTAATCAATGTAGCACTGACACCTCTAAAAATTACGTGTTTGTTAGACACCAACACGACACTGATATCATGATTACATTTAATTTATTTACGTTAAGGTTTTAGTGTCAGAGTTATTTTGGATGGTTCATAGATTTTTATTAATATTATGTTAGATTAATAATCAATCTGATGATACTTTTGATACAGAATGTGATCCGTTGCAGTTTGAATCTTCAAGAAAACATGGAAAGGAGTTGGAAGATGATGGAGGGATTTTGAAATAGTTTTCAGTAGTAATATTTTAATCTTATGTTAGGTTTTCGAAAGGAAACGTGTCTAGTGGTACTAGGTATGTTACTTTGTACAAAGAAAAATGTAGCTACTAGGTAATTAGGGTTGTTGTAAGGATGTGTTTAATGTTGCAGAAAAGAAAGTAAAATGTTGGGTTGTAGGGAGCAACAGTGGCTATTGCAGGTGACAGTAATTGTTTTTCGATGAATCATCTTAGACTTTGGGTCTAGTAAAGGCGACAGTGAATAACTGTGCCTATTTTTTTTACTACTACTTGTACCATAACGTAACTGCGTCATGAATTGTAGCCTAGTAGCATACTCTTCCGTTTTTAATTATAAAATGTCCCAAATATAACTAAGTAGTTAATGACTCCTTGTTGATATGATCTCATTTGATTCTAAGTCTCTTTATTCTTATATCTCTTTGATTAAATTAATCTCTCATTCTTTTAAGCAAAATAATATTAAAAATATAGAAAAATGCAAAAATATTTAAAAAAAAATTATAGGCTAAAAACAGTTTTTTTTTGTTGCTATAATATCATAATCAGAGAAGAATCAAGTTAGTTCTCAAGTCTATTGTACTACCAACAGTGGGATCAAAGATCATCATGAGAAGAGTAAAGAATTATAAACGATTTGGATCCGTCTAAAATCTCGATTCGCTATTAGTTACTCTATCAATTTCTTTTTAAGTGTTATTTTAGCATAAAGTTCTTTAATCAATATAGTAGATTGTTAGAGTTATTTTTTTATTATATCCTCATTTATTTTCTCTTTCTAAATAAATTCAATCGTACATTCTTTTTTTTTCCAATAACTAATTGAGAAAATAATTAATTTTATGAAAAATGTGAAGTAGAATTATTGAGAAAGTAAGAGTATAATTGATAAATTATAACATTAAACTATAAAACGACACTTATAATAAAACAAAAAAAAACTTTTAAAACGACACTTAAAAAGAAACAGAAGGAGTAATTCAAAGGACATGGTTTTGAGATCATTTGATAAAGGTGCAAGAGTTTTCTTTTAATCTATTCAAAAATCATTTTCAAGACAAAAATATACTTTTATCTTCCATTTCTTTCTTGTTTGTCGAAGAAATAGAAAATACAATATCATTTGAGACCTTTCAAATGGTACCATAACATGACAAAACATGGAAAAACCATCATTACACTTTGTCCTACTGCTTAAAAAAGAAAACTCTCAAAGAGAAGACTTGATTCTCTAGAAAGGACTACATGTCACTCCAACCATTTAAAAATTCTATATCAGATAATGCTAACTAACTCGCAAGTAACAAACAAGTGAGTTGCCAACTCAACTGAATCACCACAGAGAGAGGAAAAGAGGTGCGAACAAGGTCTACAATCACCTTTCTCTTAAATAAATTATCTCTAAAAGGGAACATATCAAGGAGAAACTACTAAGAGAAAACAATAATCTTATACCCTTAGTGAAGGGAGAGACATATTACCAATGAAGGGGGAGAGATTGAAATAATTAAAAATATCTAAAAGAGTATGATAAGCAGAGGAAACCAAAAAATACACATCCCTAGCAAAATTCCAATTTCACATGTCTTTATCCAAGGAAAAAACATATCCTCGAATGATCGAAAGGAAATTAACAATAGGTTCCTCGTGAACAAAGAAAAACCTTCTCCATCTGAAATCCCAAATGAGGTTCTCATCTATCCACTTACCTACCTCTCCCATACTTCACTCAGGATAATCAATGATCGTAAACAACCTCCAAAAATGATTTTTTGTATCACCTAATTTAATAGCACTTTTAAAAGAAATGCTATTAAAATGGAAAAAACACATTTATAATAGCACTTTTTAATCGGGCGCTATTATATAATACATACTATGTAATTATGATAGCACTTTGTACCAGAACGCTATTATTAAACTTCTTTAAGATAGCACTTTGTATAAAACGCTATTATTTGACTACCTATATAATAGCATTTATTAAAAAGCGCTATCTTATATATAATAATGAATTAATTAATTAATTGATAAAAAAAAAGTTATTTCCATTACAAACCGAAACAAAATAAAAAAACACAGGAAGGAGATTCCAAATCCATTACTTGACTGGCCTCCGACGACACGCCGGCGACCGCGACGACAACTCAACTGCTTCTGCAACAGCACAATATCGACGCACTCCGGCCCCCTGTAGCTCACCGGCAGCCACCACTGGGCGTTCGACTCCGACCTCCATCTCCAACCACTCTCGGTTTTGCTTGCAGGTAAGCAATTTTTTTCCTCTATTTTCTCGATTTGTTGTGATTGTTGTTGGAGAACTTAAATGCTTGATTTGAATCTTGGATTTCTATTTTGTTGTTGTTCTTATTTTAAGAGAAAGATTGATTTTGTTTTGGGGTTGAAATGGATGAGAGATAGAAACCTTACCACCACCACAGAGTAAAAACCTTACCACCACCACCACCAATCACAACAAATCTCAAGATGTGTGCATTATAATTTGTTAAGTAGGTGACCAAACCTTACCACCACCACAGAGTAAAAACCTACCAAAGCATCAAGGTGACCAAAAGTTACCACCACCACAGAGTAAAAACCTACCAGATTCAATTCTACTTCTTAGCATCACCCTGTCAATCAACAAGCTCTCAGCTGATGATTGGAAACTATAGTCACACATGTCACCATAACTTGATCTCATACTTGGCAACTTTGAAACACTTTTTTCAAACTTTTTTATGTATTGTTGGATATCTTGTTGAGCTGTAGTGCCTTCAGATGGTTTCTGTGCAAAGGAGAAGCAGTGTTTAGAGTCAGTTTCTTTGCTATCAGCAGTTGAGCTGACTTGTTCATGGATAGCTTCCTCGGAATCAATGTTGGCTGGTGGCTGCATTGTGTCATAATGGATATGGTGTGATTGTTCTCGAGTGCCGGATTGCTGCAAAAATGTAAAACATATAGATTATGCAAGAAAAGAATAAAAAGATGCACTTGTTAAGTAGAAAGTAAATTACTGACGAAATTTGAAGGCGGAGTATTTGAACTTGCCTCGGTTAAACGAGATGGAGTAGGTGGACCAACCATACTGAGCGGAGGATCCTCTTGAGATGAAAAGTCCGAACTATCGAATGTTGATAGTGATACACACTCGTCAAAATAAGCCTTGGCATCTTCTGCAAGACGTTTCGACATCCTTTTTCTTTCAATGCTAGACTGTAACCGTGTTTTGGATTCATCAATAATGGGATAGAAACATCTAATGTAACATGTGGAGTAAATATAATGTGAAAGGAACCTACTTTTCTTGATGGACGAGACTTTGGTATATTAGGAGTCTTGGGATATGGAAGAACTTCTCTCAAGATTCTATCCAGTTCTCTCACTCGATGTTCTTCAACTGCCAGATCTGCTCTAAGACGTCTAGCTCGCTCTTTGGCCTGTAAATATGACAAGTTCTGCTCAATATAAAAGAACGAGACGTTAACCATACTTCATCTTCAAGTATAAATGGGAATACTACCTCTTCAAGCTTTTTGGTATACTCTCTTCTAGTCTCCAATGCTAATTCTATTGTACCAGGGCTTAGCAAGTCAGGATGAATATCAGCCATATCGATGACAGTAACGGCTGTAGCGTTACTCACTTGAATAGCCTAAAATTACCGAAACAAGAAGCAAGTTAGAGAATAGCATAGGATGAATCACAGTTAGTTATATCAATAGGCAGTTAACTTCAAGCTGGCAAGGAGAAAGTTATAGTCTCATGAAACTTACACTTTCGAGGTCAATCTGAATCTCAGAAATAGCCCGCCTAACTTCAGAACGAACTGTTTCATTTATATCACTGCCTCCTAGCTGATCCCTTTGTACTGACTGCACAAGTCAAAACAGGGCGACTTTATACAAAAAAGTCAATTTCAAGCATACGTAGATAAGAGTAGGACTACAACAAAGAGTAAAAGATTTCCTATAGAAATACAACCTACATTTTGTACACAAACCGCTTTGATAGTTTTCTCATCACAACCAAATTTCCTGTCGCCATTTTGCACCAGTTTAACTTTTTCCTGCACATTACCAAAACTGTTTTTGTTCCACTCTTTTAGGTTAGCTTTAAGAATCCTCAGATTTTTGTCTAAAACATACACGGGACAGCCATACACTTTGGAATGCCAAGTTTGAGAAACGAGATTCAAGCAATCTTTGTGAAGGGTCCACATATTCATGAATTTAAAATTAGATGTGACTTTAGGATCATTATACTCGAAGTTTAGAAGCAGGGGATAGTGATCAGACTTGTTTTTGACAAGAGTATGGCAGGATGTTGAGGAGCAAGTATCGATCCAATGGAAATTACAGACAGCTCTATCGAGCCTTTTCTCAGAATGCTTACGGCCCAGGGGTGCTTACTTGGCCACTCTTAACAAAACAGTAGGGGTGATATTAGACTTACAAAAGCACCATAAGTTAGGCAAAAGATCATGCGTATAATTCATGGCAAATAGCTTAAGGTTGAGCTTCTTAAGCCAAGTTTGAAGGAATTTAGAAAAGTCCATCCAAGGTTCTGCTACCAAAACCAAGTCTAGATTGTTAACAGAAATTAATCTTTTGAGAGCAAGTCTGGAAGAGGCATTTGCAATTCCTCTAATATTCCAGAATATGCACTTAATGAGAAAGGATTAGATGTACTAGGTTTATCCCTAGTTAATTTCTTCTTCTTGGATTTTTTCGAATTCCTTTTTGAACTAACAAGTTTGAAGCCATCTGTTTCCAAACTCACCTCCTAAGCAGCCATATTCGCCCATGATTCAGATAAAAAAATTTGTATGTTGCTGTCATTTCCTTGCAGATTGGGTTGTGTCTCTTCCACTCTTAATTTATTAATAAACAAACTATTTTGGGCTTTTGGGTTATGCGCAATAGCCCGACTTATACACCCTCAAAGACGGTTCTTTTTATTGGCATTTTATTTTCATAAGAAGTGCTT